AGCTGAAGAGCTGAGGGACAGCGCCCAGGCCCAGAGTTCAGGCCCCATGACTGGACCCAAAAAGAAAAAAAAAAAGAAAATGTTCTAATACTTGCACACCCAGGTTTGACTGCTGCTCAGTACACCACAGGCAAGTCAGGGAAGCAGCCCAGAGGCCTGACAATGAGTGAGCAGATCAAGAAAATGTCTCTCTCTCTCACTCACACACACACATACACACATACACACTGAACTCTTCCCATCCATTGGGAAGAATATGGACCTGGGGAAAAATTTACATTGAGTGAAATCATGCTTAGACAAAGGGAGCATGTTCTCACTTGGATGTGGAAATGAGAGCCAAACAACAAGCATACATGAACATATGCAGGATCTACGCAGACACACGCAAACACACTAACGGATGGTGTACGCAAGTGGGGATCCCAGTGGTGTAACTGCTTTGAACAACTAACTTAGAGGGTAACAAAGGAATACCAGGGAGGGTAACAAAGGAATACCAGCGAGCTGGGCTGTTGCTGGGAGGTACAGATGGACAGAGAGGAAGGGCAGGTGAAGGGTCATAATTTCAACGCATGAACATGGAGTGAGGGAAACGTGAGAGGACGGGTAGGGCTGGGAGAGTGGGGGGAGAATGATGTAGGGGTGACACTGATCAAGATGCGTCATATTCACAAATTGTCACGTTAAATTAAAACCTCTTTGTACAAGTACTTAAAGATGATAAAAAAAACACTTCTAAAAATGGCTTTTGGTGATGGTGGTTTCTATGTGTGTGTTGGCGGGGGGGGGGGTGTCGGTACTGGGGCTCAAACTCAGAACCTTAGGCTTTCACTTGCATTTTTCACTCAAAGCTGGTGCTCTACTGTTTGAGCAGCACCTCCACTCCAGCTTTTGGCTAGCTAATTGGAGGTAAGCATTTCACAGCCGTTGCTGCCAGGCTGGCTTACTTAGAACCTTCATCTTCGGACCTCAGCTTTCCCAATCCTCAGATCTCAGCCTCCTGAGCAGCTAGGATCACAGGCGTGAGCCGCCGGCACCGAGCGAATGCCATGCTTTGGATGCGTGTGTTGACGGCATCCGAAGCTATTTTAAAGCCGGAGGCTACCTGACAGGTGTGCCGGGCACAATGGCCGAGCCCCAGCTCACCTGAGGTCTGGAAGTCGATCTCGATGGGGTTGGAGCGGCTAGTGGCCGCCTCCCGCCACAGGCTGCCCCCGACCGGCGCCCAGGCAGTCACCACGCAGCGGTACAGCCCGGCATCCGACACCTGAGTCTGGTACATTCGGTAGCGAAACTCGTCTTCCTGTACCTTCTCCAGCACCACGCCCTGCGCCCGTGCAGCATCCGTCCAGTTCCCTGGCCTCACCACCGCATCCTGGTCCAGGGAGACCATGCACCGGGTCTCATTGGGTCCCGGGCCGGCTGTGGCCGTCTTCTCTGCTGTGATGGCCACCGAGTAGCGGGGGGACTTCACGTTCCGGGAGGACACCTTGCAGGTCATCTCAAACGTGCTCCCTGCTGTGAACAGGGGCTTGGGCTGCTGGGCCTTCACCACCAGCACAGAATCTAGAGGGAGAAGCAGGGCAGGTCAGCTCTAGGTTTTTCTAGAAAAATCTAGAAGCAGAGAAGGAAAGAGCACCTGGAGGCCAAGGCGAAGCAGTCTTGTGCCTACGCAGAGACCAGCGACTGCTACGTACAATTTGGCATGGAAGAACTTCAAGTCCTAGATGTTTTACCAAGAGGATTTGGGGAGCCAAAGGTGACATCCCCTTCCCAAGACGGCCAATACAGTTTGGTCCCTGGCGAGGGTGGGAGCGTGCGGGTAGACCTGATGCCCATGCCAGACTGTGGGCCATACCACTGCCCTCCTCCCAGACCAGGGAAGCCAGTGCAGCCATGACCATTTCATCCATCATGGGACACACTTACAACCAACATGACTGGAGCACGTGCACCGCACTCTGACATCACACTGAACTGGGGCTTTAACCCCAGAAAAACTGTTTTGATGTTGAGCCAGGGCGCAGTTGCTGCCCAAGCAACCTGAGTAAGCCTGCAGCTCACACCCATAACCCCAGCGGCCCAGGAGGCCGAGGTCCCAGAGCCTCCCTGTGAAGGCCAGGTCTGGCAGACTCCAGGCCTCTACTCCACCTCCAACTAACCAGCTAAAAGGTGGGCTAGAGTGGTAGAGCACTGCCAGTCTTGAGATAAAAAGCTAAGGGACAGCACCCAGGCCCTGAGGGACTGTGCTTCAAAGACAGCCTGGGCAGAAAAGTCTATGAGACTCTGTTTCCAGAGAACTGTGGCTCAAATGGTAGAGCACAAGTCAAGTAATCAAGCTGAGTAAACTCAAGGTATTAAGTTCAAATCTTGTAACTGACCAAGATAGATAGATAGATAGATGATAAAAATAATGAAGAAAATATCGCCCCCACCTTCTGCCGCCCAGAAAATGCTGACAGGTTTGGAGAAGACATCTTTGCTCTTCACCCAACTGTTGTTGGGCTGCCGCGTCCAGGCAGACACAACGCAGAAATAATTGCCCCTGTCGCCCTCCGTTGTCCTTTGGATCCGGAAACTGAACGTGTCCGTGTGCTCCTTTGAAAAAATAAACTCTCCGTCCCGGGCCCGGCGCTTGCTTCTCTCTCCATATCGCAGTGTCCAGTCCCCGTCCATGACGGCCAGGAGCTCGCTGGCTACCGCATCGTCACTGCGCCGGCTCAGCCGGTAGTACCACGACACTGCCAGCCGCACGCGGGCCTCCGCGTGCCGCACATCCACCACCCGGCACTCCAGTTCTGTTGGGTCGTCTGCAAACGCAGGCATGCGGGAGGCGTTCAGGAACACCTGGAAGTCTGGCTCTGAACAGGAGACAGAGAGGCCCCCTTAGAGGTGTTAAGCAACTGGGTACCGGTGGCTCCCACCTGTCATCCCAGCTGCTCAAGAGGCTGAGCTCTGAGGATGGCAGTTCAAAGTCAGCCTGGGAAGGAAAGTCCATGAAACTCTGATGTCCAATTAAGCAGCAAAAAGCCATTAGTGGAGGTGTGGCTCAAGTGGCAGAGCACTAGCCTTGAGTGAAAAAGTCAACTGAGGGCACAAGGCTCTGAGTTCCAGCCCCAGAGAAAGGGAAGGAAGGAAAGAAGGAAGGAGAGAAATTGTCTCTTCATATCGTTTTACCCTTTTAAAAATGGCCTACCAGATGGGCACTGGTGGCTCACGCCTGTAATCCTAGCTACTCAGGAGGCTGAGATCTGAGGATCACAGTTCAAAGCCAGCACGGGCAGGAAAGTCTGTGAAACTCTTACCTCCAATAAACCACTAGAAAACCAGAAGTGGCGCTGTGGCTCAAGTGGTAGAGTGCTTGCCTTGAGCTGAAGAGCTGAGGGACAGTGCCCAGGCCCAGAGTTCAAGCCCCACAACCGACAAATAAAAATAAAAATGGTCTACCAAGAGGATGCCCTTTTCCCTGGCTGCCATGCCCACAACCCTGGGGTAAGGGGCCCCCTTCCCGGGGACAAGGCCTCCTCTGAACTTGAAGTCAGCACCACAGTCCCTGCTCTGATTTCCGTTTACTCAGGGCTGCCTTCGCATGCTGTCCTGTGGCCACAGGGTCCTTCTACCAGACTCCGCCCCAGACCAGGCCGGTCCCACTCTGCCATCTGCACAGGCGACAGCTGAGATGCTAACGTACTTGCTGAGTCTAAGGAAATTTATTATTTGCATAAAAATGCTCATCTTGGTGATAGCATTTCACCACTGATTACAGCCGCATCCTGCCTGATCTCAATCAAGAAATCAGCTAAGAATGCCATGGTGCTTGGGTTTTAAAATGCTTATCAGTTTAGATGCATGCTAACACATTCAACATTAAAATGAGGTGATAGCCAGAGGCTGGGCAAGGTGGTCCGTGCCTGTAATCCCAGCACTTAGGAGGCAGACTCAGGTGGACTGAGTGCAGCGCCAGCTCAGGCTACGTGGTGAGACTCGGACTCCAGAAAGAGAGATGATGTAATCTCAGAAAGTCCTGGAGGCTATGGAAGCCGGAAGTTCCTCCACTATGGGATTTGCATATTTCTATCTATAATATACAAGTTAAAATACATAATTCATGCCAGAAGGCCCCGGCGGGCCTGCAGGAGCAGGCCTCACATTCTGAGGCAGGGATCCACTCACCAACCAACATGCTGAGCTCCAAGCTGCAATCCCGGACGGAGACCCTCCCCAAAGGACAGGCTTCTGTTACAAACTGTTCAGACAGTCTGTGCCAGTCCTGGGGCTTGAACCTAGGGCCTTGCATTCTTGCTTAGCATTTTCACTCCAGCTCGGCACACTACCACTTGAACCATACCTTCACTTCTAGCTTTTTGCTGGTTAACGAGAAGAGAGTTTCAAGGATTTCTTTGCCAGTGCTGTCTTCAAACTGCAATCCTTCAAACTTTCCTTGAGGGGAAAAGCCAAGGACAAAGGTGAGGCTCTGGGTTCAAGCCCCAGTTCGGCTACACAAGAAAAAGTTGGGGGGCTGGGAAAGTGGCTCAGTGGTAAAGCGCTTGCCTTGCATGCATGAGGCCCTGGGTTCAATTCCTCAGCACCACATAAGCAAAAAGAAAAAAGCCGGAAGTGGCACTGTGGCTCAAGTGGTAGAGCTGAAGAGCTGAGGGACAGCGCCCAGGCCCAGAGTTCAGTCTCCACAACCGGACCCAAAAAAAAGAAAAAAGAAAAAAAGAAAAGAAAAAGTTGGGGTAATCCTAGACAGACGGCTGATAATTGTCATCCTAAAAACATGCCACACGCAAATATTTCCTCCTGCAGTGATAGAACTCTGCGGTTGCTACCAAGTACTTAGCAGATTAAGGGCCCCTTTTAAAGAAAAATAATTACCTTCCTTGGCGGCCGCAGTGGGTAGAGGGGACTGGCAGTGCCCGGCAGAGAATGTAAAGCAGCCTCTCAGCCCCTCCTCCTGCCTGCATCCACCACCCCGGGAACTTCTCCAATTAACACCGCACCAGGCTGGGGCTTGGGGCCCAGAGCTCAAGCGTGAATGATTCCCATCCACCTCTGCCAAAGGCTCATTAAGACATCCGATGGCGGAAGACATGCCGGTGTACAGATTCTAGCCACCTTTGTCCCTCTAGAAAAATTCAGATTCTTCTAGAAACTCCTTCACACACTTAAGATAGGTGTGTTAGCCAGGTACCACTCTTGTAATCTTAGCTACTCAGGAGGCCAAGATCTAAGGATCATGGTTCAAAGCCAGCCAAGGCAGGAAAGTCTATGAGACAATCTTAGCTCCAATAACCTATTCAGAAAAAGCCAGTAGTGGAGCTGTGAGTCAAGTGATTGAATGACAAACTGAGTGACAAAATTAAGCGATTAGTCTTGAGTTCAAGGCCCAGGATTGGTGTACACACACACACACACACCCTTAGCTTTGAGAAAGAGCATGTAGGACACCCATATGAACACTTGTTTAGGACCTGTGTATAAGAAGAGCATTGAAAAGTTCTTTCCATTATCCAATCTCATGCCTCTGAATTGAGAGGGCATGTGACAAATTCAGTGCCAAGAAAAAGCTCATTTTCCTTCCTCGGAGGAGTACTATATATTCACATCTCTTTTGGTTTCCAGTCTTCAAACTTCAGAGGCAAACGCAGGCCCTCTCCTGAGTAACTAATTCATCCCAGCTACCTTGCAATATCTATTCTTAAGATTTTTTAAAAATCCCTTTTGATTTTGATTTTATTTTCATGTCTCCTCCTTATGCTTCATTTTGCAAGCCATCTTCAATCTTTGCCCCCTTCAAAGTGGGACATAAATCCTAAGTCAAAACACAAGCATATATGCATGCATGCACGCGCGCACACGCGTGCGTGCACACGTACACCACACACACACACACACACACAAAAGATTTCTTTCTCATCCTTTAAAGAAAGCATCATGATTCTGTGGGCTGGTGGCTTATACCTGTAATCTTTGCTACCTGGGAGGCTGAGTTCAAGGTTCAAAGCCAGGAGGGACTAAAATAAAAACGATGGGAAACCTAAGATACACAGATCGCCATCCGGTTGCGTGCTGAGGCAGATAGTGACTCCCTGCCTGCCTCAAAATATTCAGTGCAAAACATGGCTAGAGGCCTGGCCAAGTGCAGAGCACCTACCCAGAAAGCAGGAGGCCCCGGGTTCAACCCCCAGCGCCAGCCAAAATAATTAATTTTTTGTCGGTCATGGGGCCTGAACCCCTGGCCTGAGCACTGTCCCTCAGCTCTTTAACTCAAGGCTGGCGCTCTACCATTTGAACTACAGCGCCACTTATGGTTTTCTGGTGGTTTACTGGAGATAAGAGTTACAGGGACTTTCCTGCCCAGGCTGGCTTTGAACCATGATCCTCAGATCTCAGCCTCCTGAGTAGCTAGGATTACAGGTGTGAGCCACCAGTGCTCGGCTTCAAAAAAATTATTGGATAGATCAAATAGTGGTAGATTCCATTTTCCAAAGATGTAGCATCTCCTCCACATAGCCTCTGTCCCTGTGACCTTGTGCCCACAAAGGGAGCCTTACCCCCAATCCCTGAACTTGGGAGGATCCTGGATGGCTCTGAGCAGCAGGAGAAAACAGAAGGGCAGGCCGGCTGGTCTCATGATACTGCAGCCCCTTGCTTTGTGTGGGAAGGCAGAGATGAACCCCATGGGGCCGTCCTCTGTTCCTGACCCTCAAACTCACAAGCAAGATAAAAACCAGCACTTCATTTTCAGACAATGGTAGGGAGCAGGATGTAAGCCGGGGTCTGTACATCGCATGCCAAGCCCCAACAGTAATTATCATTACTGTCATCATCACTTTTTTTTTTGTTGTTGTTGTTGGTCATGGGGCTTAAACTCTGGGTCTGGGCACTGTTCCTCAGCTCTTCCGCTCAAAGCTAGTGCTCTACCACTTGAGCCACAGTGTCACTTCCGGTTTTCTGGTGGTTCATTAGAGGTAAGAATCTCATGGACTTTCCTGCCCAAGCCGGCTTTGAACCTTGATCCTCTGATCTCAGCCTCCTGAGTAGTTACCTGCATTACAGGCTTGAGCTACAGGCACCTGGCGAATTTTTATTCTTAATCAGTTAGGTGGCAAAATTGAGTTTTCTGTCATATCTGTGTAGGAATCCAGTGTGCCTCGTTTCCCCCTTTTTCTTTTACGCTGGGGATTTGAACCTGGCCTCCTGTTTGCCAGGTAAGAGTTTAACCACTTGTGCTATACTCCCCCTCTTGGGCTTTAGTTTGTTATTACAGGGTCTCATACTTGCTCAGAATCAAGCTCACCTCAGACTGCCAGTGCCTCTCAAGTAGCTGGGATTACAAGTGTGAACAACAGAGCCTCGCCCACAGCTTAGTGTTATTTCTTCTCATTCTGGAGAATACAGCACCCCCTCAAGAGCCCCCAGAGACCCCCCATGATGTATCGGGGGCCCATCATCCCAGCACTTCAAAGAAACCCTAGAATCGGGTGCACAGGCAGCCAAGAAGGGCTGGGACTCAGCACAGGGACCTGGCAGCCCTGCCACACGTCACAGGGGGTCAGAGCCAGGAGAGAAATTCTGCTGCAGTGATGACAGCCCCCATGGCATGCGTCTGTTTATTGGGAGGTTGCTAAGGAGTCCCAGCTGGCCAACTTCCCCGCAGCTCAGCGCTCTCCTTAGAGCTCGGGCCAGGCTGGCCTCCTCGCCCTTCCCCGTATCACAAGGACAATGATGGACAGGGCTGGCTCCAGCGCAGCTCACCGCCCCTGCTGCTCTTCACCCTCCGCCTCCCCCCCCTCAGTCCCCACTTATCAGCCCCATCCTTTGCCAGTTAAAGGAACACAGAACAGTGAATCCAACACACATGCAATCGGAGATCTCACGCAGATGAGGCACGTGAACAGCAAGAAGCCACGGCCTGACCTTTAAAGTAAGGTCTGCCTCCTAGGAACCAGAGCCACGTCCACACGTGCAGACAGACCACAGAGACGAAACTTGAGCCAGGCGTGTCTCACTGAAGCACACCTTGTCTTTCTAACAAGCTACGTGGAGGGGAGGCATCTGCACGCACAGACGTCCTCAGGTTCTTGTTCGACACTAATGAGGCAGGGGCCCACGCAGGTGCCCCCCCACCATGAGCTAACAGAGGGCAGAGCTGGGGAGTGAGGCCAGGAGACAGAAGACACACGGGTGACATGTGGCCTGACAGAGAGGGCAGATGACAAGTCACCATAAAGAAGCAGCCAGGTCCTGCATGGAAACCAGGTCAGCAACCGAAGTCACTGTGGAGCTGGGCAGGGTGGCTCAGGCCTGTAACCCCAGCTGCCTGGGAGGCTGAGGTCTGAAGATCACAGTATAGAGCCAGGCCAGGCAGGAAAGGCTGTGAGACTCTTATGTCCAATTAACCACTAAAAAGTTGGAAGAGAAAATGTGGTTCAAGTGGTAGAGTGCTTACCCTTGAGCGCAAAAGCTCAAGGACAGCTCCCACGTCCTGAGTTCAAGCCCCAGGACCAGCACTAAAAATAAAATAAATAAATGATCTTCTTCCCTACCCAGCTTTAGAAAGCAGAAGTCCATGTCCCGGAGCACAGGGGAGTCCAGAAGAGGAAGCGGGACTGCAGCCCCCCTTCCAATAAAGATCCATTTCTTGTTTTTTCTTTGGTCTGGGGGGTGGGAGGGGAGGCATGAGGGCTTGAACTCAGGGGCTGGGCGCTGTCCCTCAGTATAGTATTTCACTCAAGGCTGATGCTCTACCACTTGAGTCACAGCTCCACTTCTGGTTTTCTGGTGGTGTGTTAGAGATAACAGTCTCACAGATTTTCCTGCCCAGGGCTGGCTTTGAGCCGTGATCCTCAGATCTCAGCCCCCTGAGTAGCTGGGATGACAGGCGAGAGCCACGCCTGTCTTGACCTGCACATCTCTACATCGAAAGGAAACACCATCCTCTCAAAGAGGGCAGAGATGAAGGCAGGCACGCTTTCTAAGTACCACCCTGTCCCCCGACTCTGCCCCCCCTTCCTTCCTTTGCCTTCCAGCCTGGGATCTGTTCTGATCAGAAGACTGTCTCAATACACAATCCTCAGCACCCAGACTCCTGCAGAGGCCGGGAGGCAGGAACTGGCAATTCGCCACACCACTCACCCAGCCATGTGACGTCCACACTGGCCGGCGCAGACCTGGCCTCCGCCACCTTGTGCCAGCTCCGGTTGTGTCCCAGGGTCCAGAGCGCCACCTGGCAGAAGTAGTAGCCGGCACTGTCCCTGCTCACGTCCCGCACGAGGAGGTGGTAGGACCGCATGTCCGTGTGACTCAGAGCCACACCAGGTGCGCTGTGCACCAGGGAGGTGCGGTCCAGCTGGGCCAGCATGCGGGAGGCGGGCAGGGCGCCATCGGGCAAGCGGCTGAAGTACCAGGCCACCTCGGGGCGCACGTCGTCGGCGCGGTCCGTGCTGATGTTGCAGGCCAGGTCCAGGTCCGTCCCCTCGGCCACCGACACGTTCCGGGCCACGGCAGCACGCAGCACTGGAAGGGCAAAAAGAAAACTCTCGAAGAGACCCGGACTACAGCCAGCTGCCCTGCTTCCAAAGCCCAACACCTGCCTCCTTAGGCAATCACTTTCCTTTTGGCTTTTTGTCAGTCATGGGGCTTGAACTCACTACCAGGACACTGTCCCCGAGCTTTTTCTCACAGATCACGCTCTACCACTTTGAGCCACAGCGCCACTTCTAGTTTTCTGGTGGCTCACTGGTGATGAGAGTCCCACAGATTTTCCTGCCCAGGCTGGCTTTGAACTGTGATCCTCAGATCTCAGCCTCCTGAGTAGTTAGGATGACAGGCGTGAGCCACCAGCCACCTGGCTTTTCTTTTTCTTTTCTTTTTTTAATGCCGATGCTGGGGCTTGAACTCAAAAGTCTGAGCATGATCCCTTACTTTTTCTGCTGCAGTTGGATGTTCTACCACTTGAGGCACAGCTCCATTTCCTGCTTTTTGGTGGTTGGAGATGAGAGTCTCCCAAAGACTTCCCTGCCCTAGCCTGCTTAGAACCCGAATTCTCAGATTTCAACCTGAGTAGCTAGGATTACAGGCGTGAGCCACCAGTGCCCGGCCAATCATCTCCTTTGAAATTCGAACTCACATTATGAAAATTAGACAGCTTGTACGGTTGCTAGGGATTTCAGGAATATTTAATGTATTCATTCATAAAACATACTAGATTCCCTTTCATATTCTATATGTTGGTATGTTCTTAATGCTTCATTTATTTTATTCATCATCTCCAATTCAAAGCTCAGGGACAGCGCCCAGGCCTTAAGTTCAGGATAGGCACAGAAGAAAAAACAAGGAAAGACGCAGAAGAAAATTGGAAGATCCTTGGCCCTGTGTGCCAATGCTGCCTGGCTTATGCATAGGTCCTGAGGTAGATCCCCAGAGCCTCAAAGCACACAACAGAGCCAAGGAGGTGAAATCAGACAATTGTCTTTCTGAGTCAACTTCTCCCTCCTCAATTGATTTCATTCGCTCTGTCTACCTGAAAGCCAGCCAGAGACCCGGAATCCTGAATCCTGAAGAGCAATGAGTTTGGGATTATCCACACCACTGCCCCTTTGCGCTAGTGGGTGTAATTAAAAGTCGACTATATTTAGATGAGACACGCAAGAATTTGCTGTCACATACAAGACGGATCTAGCCTCAGCGTCCTCCTGTCAAAGCTTTTCAAATGGAAAACGCTGTGTGGCATGCAGGCGAATTTTTAAAAGACGTTGAGCATCTGTAATGGGAGTGAAAAAGCAGCCGACAGCGTGCTCTCCGAGTGATCAGTGGATGAACAGCCAGTGTCCCAGGGGAGGCCCAGCCCTGGCCATCTAGCCAAAGTCACTCTTCCTGTGTCCCCAGGAAGCGAAGGGATAGGGGTCTGCTGCTCAGGTCACAAAAGGCCCAACGCGAAGTCTTGGGTGTCTGTCACTGCCACAACTGGCTTCTGAGCTGCTGTGGGGACAAGGTCAGCATCACCTTGAGGCTGACGCACTTCGTGGTGGGCACAAGAGCACACAGAGAAGTCCGGCATCCTCTTCCACCCCATCCTACTCCACACATTTGCCAAGTTCCTCCTCCTCCATCCCTTCAAAAGTAATAGTAATTTGGGGAACATTGGGGGAACAATTGGGGAACGTGGGGGGGGGTTGAACTGAGGGCCTGAGCGCTGTCCTCAGCTTTTTTACTCTAGGTTGGCACTCTACCACTTGAGCCACAGCTCCACTTCCAGCTTTTTGGTGGTTCATTGAAGATAAGAGTCTCATGGACTTTCCTGCCCAGGCTGGCTTTGAGCTGCGATCCTCAAATCTCTGTTTCCTGAGTTAGCTGGGGTGACAGGGGTGAGCATAGGTGCCTGGCTTTGGGCTATCTTTTGAAAGTGCTTCAGAGCATTTAGCAATGAGCAGCTGAGGCAGCTCCTATCTCCTGGACCACCCTGCATACCATGCTTGTGGTCACAGGGTAAAAGATGGCTCCGGAGAAAAATGGCTGCATGATCACCTCGATTAACTTTCCCTAACCCATCCCATTTTTCCCCACTGTGAATGAAAACAAACCCTTGTGGTACACTGGTCTCCGGAGGACTTGGCCACCACCCCAGGGTGGTGAGACAGCCGCCACAGGTGTCAGGAGACAGGGCTGACGCGCCTGGCCACCCACAGCTCACAGCAGTGAGCTGCCATCCACTCCAGCGACTGGTGTTAATAAAGAGGGACAGCATTACCACAGAACAAATTTGTCTTGAAAATATTTTGACAACTATTTCAATAAAATTGTTTTCCACTGTCAACTTGTAGTGTTGTCTTTTATAAATTAAAAGACACATTAATTCAGAGAAAGGATCTATTAGCTTCTAAAGACTGTTAAAAAGGTCCCATGACACACAAAAAAAGAAAGATCAGCAGGCTGGGCCTTGAGCCTCATGCTGGTAATACCAGCTAATCAAGAAGCTGAGGTAGGAAAAGCACAAATTCCAGCCCAGCCTAGGAAACCCAGCAAGATTCTTACCTCAGTATAAAAATATAATAAACTTAGCCAGATTCCATAATCTTGAGGCCCGTAGTCCTAGCTATTCAAGAGGTTGAGATCTGAGGATCGTGGGTCTGAGCCAGCCTAGGCAGAGAAATCTGAAAGACTCTTTTATCTCCAATTAATCAGCAAAAGGCTGGAAGCTGGGTTGTGGCTCAAGTAGTAGAGCAACAGCCTTGAGGGAAGAAGTCAGTCAAGAGCATAAGGCCCTGAGATCAAGTCTCAGTACTGGTACATGCATGCACACACACATGCACCCACATGTGCACACACACAAAAAAACTCTATAGATCACAGCTTTAAACAAATGTGCCCCTCCCCACACCGCTCCCAACCTCACCAGAAAGCTGCAACACAGAGGCAGCAGAGGTGGGTCACAGGTGCGCACACACATGCACAGGAGGGCAGCCTGTTCACACATGTACGCAATACATGTGCACAGGAGAGCAGCCTGTCCACATATTCACGCACACACATGTGCACAGGAGAGCAGTCTGTCCACACACATGCATGCACACACACGTGCACGGGAGGGCAGCCTGTACCCGCACAAGCGCGCACACACCCCCGCGCGCCCCGCCCCCACTCACCTGTGGGCCGGATCACCACGGCCGCCACCTCCACTGCCTTTTCCTGGATCTCCTGCCAGGCGCCATGCTCTGCAATCCACTCGCCCACCACACACCAGTAGGCGCCCTGGTCGGCGGCCAGCGCGGGGTCCAGCGCCAGGCGGAAGCCATCGGCGCCGTCGGTGCCCAGGCGCACGGCGCCCG